AAATGAGATTGGGGTCAGGACACCCGGTGGAGGGATCATGGTCCACACCCAGTGAGCATTTAGGTTCCAGGTTTCAGTCTATGGACTCAGTTAATCCACCGAGCAATGCAATTCAGGAGGAATCAAGGCCTCAGAGGAAACCCGAGGCCCAAGGAGGAGAGAAAATTGCCCAGGATCCCAGAGTCAGTAAAGGGCAAAACAGAGTCAAACTTGGAATTTAGCGTTTGGGGACAGGAGTTGACCAAGACCTGCTCCGGCTTTTGAGCAAAGATTGCGGGAACCCTTCCATGTAGCACCTACCTGGGCAGGAACAGCTGTCCCCACTTTCTCAGGGTCTCTGGCTGCAGAGCGGCCTCCACCTGCCTCATCCTGCCGGGGTCAGGGAGCACCAGCAGCAGCCAGGCATTGCCACTGTACTCTATCTGCAGCACGGTGCACGCCACCTCCTGGTCATAGAGGAACCTGTGCATCTCCCTCTGCTGCATCATGGGGACGCGGAGAGAGGTCCTGTCATCCACCGAGAAGCTTTCCTGCTTCCGGGTCTGGTAGCGATCGAAAGGATGCTTCCACTTGGCTGAGGACACAAGACCCGTGACACATGAGCACATGTCCCAGGAGAGCGACTCTGGGCGGCTGTCTACAAAGCCACACTGGCCTGGTGACTGTCTCTTGGGTATGTAAGTGTGAGGTGAAGAAGTAGCTTGGTTGGGGGCAGATCCAGGAGGCCAGAATCCAGGCCAGGGCTTAGCCACTAGAGTGTCAGCAGAGTCTGAGCTCCAGGGGCCTAGGGTTGGGCTTCCTTTCAGAGGAATTTAGTTCTCGAGACCACAATGCATTCCCATCCACTAAGCACCTTCCATGGGTGAGGCATAGTCTCTAAATCATCACAAAAATTAACAAGAAACAAGTGTCATCGTCCCCATATTAGGGATGGGGAAACTGACGCTTGTGCATTTCTGTAAACATGCCATTTACAAAGCCAGGGAGTATCTTGAGCTGAGATCAGTGGCCTGATTCTGACGGCACAGCTCAGGTTGTTTCCAAGCCCTTTAAACAGATCCTCGGCCCAGTGACCCCTAGATGACCAGCTTATGCAGAGACACTCAATCAATGACCAAGTTCTGCAGATTCTACTTCCAAAGCCACAGGTTTATCAAGGTTAGTGTCACCCGGATTTGTTCCACTTTGAGAAACGCCTAACTTGTCTTTCCCCTCCCGTCCTTACTCCCTCCAAACCATTTTCACACTGTATCCAGGCTCGTCTTGCTCCTTTGCTTTTTTAAATCTGGGTCTCACTGTCCTGCCTGAGCTAGTCTCAAACTCCTGCTCTCCATGATCTTCCTATCTCAGCTGAGTAGCGGGGCGGTTCCCATCTTCACGCCCAGCCACACCCGCTCTTTCTAAACAGACGCCATCTTGTCACTCTACTGTTAAGACTGGAATACCTGGTCGTTCTTTTCTCTGGAACTTTACCCGAGCAGATCCAATTCACTCTTCAGGTCTCCACTCAGAGGCCTGCATTTCTGGGGAGCCTCCCCTCGCTCCCCAAGTCTGCATGGATGCCCATCTCCTCCGAGAGCTGCAGGGAACCTACACCCGCCTGAAAGCATGAATCCCTCTGAGCTCTGTTGCCACTACTTGCTTCCAACCCACGTGGGACATGAGCTACCCAAGGGCAGGAAAGCTGTCATTCACAGATTCCCAAGAGGTACACAGCATCCCCCAAGGATGTGTTGGTCACCTCTGTGCGGTGACAGTGTCTACTCACAGAGGAGACGCCAGTCATTGTGTCTGAGCGAGCCCTCACCTTTGAAGAAGATGTAGTTCAAGAGAACCATGAGCGTGTCGTGGCTGAACTGCGGCAGGCCGTCCGTGACGTGCCCGTACGTCTGCTTTCTCACGTACTCATTGATCTGCCTCCAGGTTGTAGCCGGATCCGAGAAGTTGGCAGAAAAAGCAAAAGCGCCATACAGCTCCTTGGTGCTGTCCAAAAAGTGCTGCAGGGGCTTGAGCCGCTTGTCCAGGAACAAGGAGCTCCCGACTTTTAGTTCAAGTTTGGGGCTGGGCAGGTCAAGGGTGCGGAGGAGGCTCTGGAAGCCCCGGTGGACGTCGGCTGCTGGGGTCTCTGTGAGGTTGAAGCCCAGGCCCTCCAGGATCTGTGTTGAGGTGTCACCTTGGGCCCCAAGGGAGAGCAGGGCCAGCATGCTGGAGAGGCTCACGGGAGAGAAGAGGATGTTTCCTGGGGTGCCCGCCGCCAGCCTCTTGTACAGGCGCAAGGCGAAGCTGGTAATGGTGGGTGTGACTTTGTGGTAGGCAGGAGCTGGCTCCGAGAGCTGATGGCTGGGGGGTTGATGTGCCCCTGGGCTCTTAGCTCCGTGGGCAGGAAAGGGCTGACAGTGCACAGAGGCCAGGATCCAGGCTCCCAGCAGCCACAGCCTAGCCGGCCCCATCCTCTGAAAGCAAGATGCGAACACGTCAGTCCTCCTCTTCACACGCGACTTCATCTGCCCCCCTGCTTGGCCATCAACCCCACCATTCAGACTGTCCCACAAGGGTTCCATAGGCACACTGCAGGGGACAGTGGTAGATGACAGTCCTCCCAGGCTTGGGGAAGACCAGCAGCCCTCTCTCTGCTCCACGTGTGATAGAGGTTTTTGAGTAAAGGACTCCGGGCTACCAAAAAGTCTTCCATAGCTCATCCTGCTCCCCTCCTTGCCTCCCTCCCTTCCTATCTCCTCTGCCTTCCCTCCATCTTTCCTTCCTCCTTCCTTCTTTCCATTTCCTCTCAAGGATCTATCTGACTCAAGAAATTAACCGGTATTGAATATCGAGTCGGGAGAAAAAAAAAAATCCCAATTCCCGACCCCACAAGCTTCAGGTCCAGTTGGAGTGGCCTGCACTAGTTAAATGAGCAAATGTATATGTTACTATAAATGGAGAAGAGGCCTGTGGAACAAGTGGTCAGGACACTGTGACCATGAGTGACACTGGGCCTGCCTCACACCTAGGCACAGCCTTGACCTAGAATTCCATCTTCCAGAAAGAAAAGGATGATGTGCAAAGCCTCACGTCAGCCCCACGGGAAAGAGGGGTCCCTGGGCCCTCCTGATCCTTCCTTAGCTGGATGTGAGGGTCCCCCACCGGGTGGCGCAGATGAGAGGGGCCCCTGGGTGAGGACCAAGCGACAGAATTGGTGGGTCCTGGGAGGAGAGGAGGGAGCACGGATCTGTCTCCACATCTCCATCAAGACTCTGCTGGCTGTCATGCGCAGTGGCTGGAGCTTCCATCTTTGATTGATGCGGAGGTTTAGGAACCATCTGTCATGGGTAGACTTGGTTTTGCTCCAAATTTATAAGCTGAACCTTCAGCTACTACGACCCCTGAAGGGGATCTTGTTTGAAAATAGGATCATCACAGGTATAATTTGTTAAGATGGGGTCATTAGAGTAGGCTCTTAACCCAGTTTGACTGGGATCCTTATAAAACAAGAGCTTTAGGCACAGAGACACACCATGGAGAAGACAGACTGCAGGTGATATCCTACCAACTGAGCAAAGCCAAAGACGGCTGGCAACCACCAGGAGCTGGGGAGAGGCCTGGAGCAGACTCTTCCCAACGGCCTCAGGAGGAGTCAGCTCTACCCACCCCTTGATCTTGGACTTCAGCTTCCAGAGCTGCTAGACAAAAGCTTTTGTGGTTTAAATGCAGCACTTTGACAGCTTGTTAAAGCAGCCCCTGCAGAGAAGTACGACACCTCTTGGTTATAAGACCTGCCGGAAGAAACTCTGGTCCACCTCTAGGGGATACTGGGGGTGCAGGAACAGGAAGACCCCTGGCTTCCGGGCAGGATGTGCAGGGGAGGGGCACCGTGTTGCGCTGTGTCTAAAACCTTCCTTCCCCTTTCAGGGACATGCACAGACCCCTGGATCCTGCAGACCCTGATGTCCCCCTGCTTCACTTGCAACCACCCTTTCCATTGTTCCTACAGTGGGGGCCAAATTCTGACCTCCTGGTGCCTTGTGGTAGATCGTCCTGAAAACACTGGTGATTTAATCAGCACTTTGCATACTCTTTGCCCAAACTAATGAGCTCTGGACAAATTACAGCTGTAGTAGCCATGCTGGGGAGGGTAGCGTTCCAGGTGGCATTCGGCCCTGGTGTCCTGAACGCTCTGCCCAACCACTATTCAAAGCCCAGCGGCCAGGAGGCGAGATGCCGTCTCCTCTGTTATGTCGAAACGCATTTGCTGGTCAAAGTGTGATGGGCACTTTTCCAAGGTCATGACCTCCCTCCCTCCGCACAGCTCAGTGGGGGTGGCTCTATGACATTTCCTGTACATTTCAGATTTGCCTTTTTGATGGGAAATTTGTAAGATGCAGAACAAATGAAAACTTGGTCTGTCCCTGGGTAAAATCAGAAACACAGAAACTACTTCTCATTTATTCCTTCTATGCCACTGAACTCAGCACCGTTTTCTGCCCCGTGGCACTCCAAGGACTTCCCAGGGGGGCCTGGGTTGCAACCAAGGCTCTGCAGGAACTCACTGCCACGCAGTGCCAAGAAACCTCCTTCACAAGGTGTCAGTTTTGCAAAATGTAGGCAAAGTCCCCTCCCGGGCAGGCAGGTGAAGGCTTACGTGACAGACACACAGAGCACCTAACACAGAAAGAATATGATAAGGGTTTTCTTCCCATTCACCAAGGCTTAGTGCAATGACATCCAGTTCATTTCATAGCTCCTTTTCTAGAAAGATCCCAGAGGAAAATGAAGAACCCTATCCATTCATTATAACATTTCATTTATTAAGTGTTTATTAGAGGGCTGGGGATATTAGGTACGTTGTATCACTGTTTTTCGGACAGATGGGTTTGTAAATTAGGGAGGAGGGATGGGAGAGGTGCGGGTGGGTGGTGTTTCTGGTCATATCGACCACAAGAAACGGGGGTGCTCTGGGCACTCAGTGGGTGAGATTTGGGTACATGGAAGCTTTAAACTGCCCAGAAGGGTCACATGCAGTGAAGAATGGTCCTGCCCAAATGCAGGTGGCACCTGCTTTGTTTCTGACTCAATCCTTCTGAGAACCCTGAGGCACAAGGATTCCTAGCCCAGTTGTCCATTTGGGGAAACTGAGGCTCAGGGCAGGACAAACACTCCTCGGTAAGAGGCAGGAGAAAGACTCGGGTCCAGCTCAGGGCTTCCAAGCATGCCTCTTTTCCCATCACAAGATTTCTAGTAAGTTTTGTCCTTTGCTGTGGTCTTATCTGCCAGGAATATGCGGAGCTCCTCTGTCCAAAGTCTCGGATGCCAAAGGTCATTGAAAACCTGAAATTCTAACTTGGAGACTCAGAAGCAGTGCTCATTCCACTCTAACTCACTTCTCCCACCCCTACCTGTGAAGCCAGAGATGGAGAAACAGAAAACTAGAGAGCAAGAGGGGGATAGAGCGGTGACCACCACCTGCCTTCCTTCCCGGCAGGAGCCCAGTACTCACAGAGCCTTATCACCAAGCCGGGCCCAGGTCCTCAGCCCGCACGTCCTCCTGCCACAGAAAAGTTGTGTTGGAGACCCAGCAGCCTGGTCAATATTTGCCAGGTCAATTCCTGGAACCAGTGTGGAGACATGCACAGCAGGCGGGAAGGCTCTTCTGTTGAGAGCTCCCATCCGGCTGCCTGTCCTCAGACAAGCGGGTGGTCTGGGGCCCAGGTGGGTCTGAGGTGCTCTGATGCTGGTGAGGTTGGTGGGGCCTTTCTGCTGGACCCTGTGCCTGTCCTTTGAGTTAGCCCATCGCCCTCACCAGAAGACAGGGACTCCATCCTCCACCACCACAGCAAACTGTTCTGGTATTTTACCCACATTTTAAAGCAGGATCACACACAGAGTGGGGTTGGGAGAGGACTGGAGCGAAATTCAGTAAATAGAGCAAGGTCTTCCCTCCTGCTGTGCTGAAAGCCCCATAAAGTGGGACCATGGATGCTGCTTACTGGTGTGTCCCAGGATCCACCAGGAACTAAAGGAATGTTTCTT